TTCATATTCAGTGAGCGGCAAAATTATAAAATAATTTTATTTATTAAAACTGAAAATGTTTTGTTTAGACAAAAACTTTCAAACAGGTCAATTTTCTTTTTAAAAATACAAAATTCTCAAGTTCATTTAAAATTGTATGTTTGTTTTTTGTTGATATTATTTCACTTTTTTGATTTTTTTTTTCGAGAACTTTATGTAGGTAATATAATATTTTGGTGTTGTCATTTCGACAATTAAAAGATCTATTGAAATGGCTAAAAAAATTAGGGGTTTTTAGTAAAAAAAAATCGATGACATCATTACCCAAAAACCAAAACGTGTAAAATTTGAAATCAACTTGAAAATTGTGTATTTAAAAAAAAATGAGCATTTTTGCCAAAATAAAATATTTTCAGTTTTAATAAGATTATTCCATAATTTATTAAAAAACAGCTTTTTCTTGGTAACTTTTTGATGTCACAATTAACCTTAAACATAATTAACCTTTTTTTTTTACTTAATTTGACATTTACAAATTTACATAACTTGGTTGTCTTTCAGTTTTTTTTAGATTAACAAAAAAAGTTCTATATTCCTACCACATGTTCTGCTAACAACGAGTCGTATACTAAAATTAATTAAAACAGTCTAAGTCAAAAATTGAATAATATTTAAAAAAATAATTGCTTTTATTTTGGTAGGTATAGTCGTGATAATTTTCAGATTAATTTTCTGTAAGAAAATTTGTACCTAATTTATTTTAGTGAACCAAAAAAAATCATAATGGAGGAAAACGTATGTGAATTATTTTAAAAATGATACTTTCGACGTCCATCTAGTGACAAACCTTTGTACCACCTATGTGATGTTGACTGTATAAATGTTGTATGCAGTTCGTGAGAACTATGGAAATTGTGAATGTCAATATTTTAAGATCTGTCTACCTACAGCAGCGTTTTTACAAACGTGTTTGTTTAGAGACATTTTTATTAGTATTAGGTATACCTAATTATACGTTCAAGGAATTATAAGCTACTCGTATAAATGATAAATTTTCATTACGACAAATGATATGCGTTGCGATATAATCAGCGTGTATGTTGTGTTTGTTGCACCTTGTATTTTGCTTCAATTAGCTTGTTTTAAAGTAGCGATATCAAAAAAAAACCTGGTAAAAGTGGACAAACTAAATTACACAAATTGCTTTCAGGTTAATTAAAATTGTAATATTCTTAGTAGCATGCAACTTATTTCTCAAGAATGCAACACAAACTACACCAAACCATAAACCATAAACTCCTATCATGAAAAAATCCATAAAACTGATAACAAAAGCATGAGCGTTTAAATGCGGCCCATAAGACACACATAAAAAGGAAAACAATCGGACATCAATTTAAATATAACAAATATGTCTCCATTTCAAAATCAATTAAATATCAATTAGATGAGATCGACTGGGGTTTTAATGTCTGATTGTGTTTTAATTTGCCACAAATCGATTTTCTTTTTTAACAAGTGACTAAAGCGCAGCATCCTCAACCTGCCATCAACGTCAATAAGACTGCCAGTATCACAGATGTAACCGAAAAACAGGGTGGGGGTTTATCCCGTAGGATAGCCCGGCCTACTCGCCCCACCCTAAAACACGCCCCATGACAGGAGAGTCCCGGATCCTGGAGCATCCTGAAAGTCAGTGTGTTGTCGAATCGAATAGAGTTGACTACTGTTAACGTAACGTATAATTTTTTAAACAAATTTTGACTTTTGAAATCGATTTCTTGTGATGAAGTGGTAGTTTGATGGGTTTTTGTGACCAGTGAACTTTGCGTTACGTTTGATGATTACCAAAATTATGACAGGTGCGTATTTTATTTATTTAGTAAATTTAGATTATTGCAATCAATTTTTTTGCAATTATTTCGATTGATTTTGTTTTGATTTTACTTAAATTTATCGGTGTGTATAAAAATGCGTCGCTTTTAATTAATTCTGAGACTGCATTTAAGACGGATTTCCTTCGATAGAGCATCGACGTTATCTGTTGGTGGTTAATTTGGACTGAAAATTAACCGCTAACCGCAGAGCTTAACTGATGTCTTTTCATCCTGTTAATTAGCAGCTTAATTGCCCTAATAGTGTCCAGAGTAAACAATACGGAGCAGCACATGTTTCTGCGAATCACGTAACATAACCTTGCACAATAGCAATATTTTGTGCAGGACTAAACAATATGTTATTGTTATCTTAACAGGACAACGACCTGCTTGCAATCGCAGGATCGTGCTCCATCTAGATTTTGAGAAAGGGGAAAAAAAGGCAAAGGTGCTGAGTTGCAATAACATTATCGCAGTTTTTAACGCAAACGAGAGAGCTTTTGAATTCTTTTACAAATTTTAGATTAGATTTCCGAACAAATTTATTTAATTTGTAAGCTCCACTTGTGCTACAAAAATATTAGGGGTTTATTGAAATAACAAAGTTCAAATAAAAGAAGTTTCAATAGTTTTGAATAAGATAACAACATATCTGGGAGCTTAGCTTATCATGTGGGTATTTGTCTTTTTCGGCTGACCTTCAAACATTGTTATTCTTTGCTTCTACCTGTTGGTAATTGTTACCACATTGTCATTTTTCTATTTCTATACATGGTTTTGCTATAAATGCTGCATAACTTGCAACTGAATATTTCAAAAAGTGTCACATTTCAAGAACTCGTTCCATTTAAATGACCCAAATAATTTTGTACTGCTTTTATAAAGAAAAAGTACATCACTAGTCAATGTTTATTTGTATTACAAGGAGGAAAGTGCAGTTATAAATTTTTTGTCATTATTTAGGTACAACAATAGTTTTCCAAGTTGATGCGAAGATTAATGTTCAATTTGTCGGCAAAATAATGAATTGATTAATTTAAATATGAATTAATTATTCGTTTATAAAAATTTGTCTTGTTTTTGCATATTTTGTTTTCTTAATATTTATATCAAATCTTGTAATTTTATACTTTGTATGTCAATAGTATTAATTATTATTATCAGGCATAATATAAGTTTGTTAATGCCAGAAATTTAAAGTTAAAACACCTTCTCTAATAGATGTGTTTTTTTGTTATTCTAATTTCTCTAAATGAAGTATTACCACCAAAAGTAGGTAGGTACCTATAAGAAAATTATTTCTATAGTTATTTTAGATTTACCTACCTAAAATACGAGAACCTATTAGGAAACGATTCAAGTTGTTATTTATCAATAAATTCTCTTCTAATTCGGATTTCTGATCAGGTTACGCTTTACACAAACGTGAGCCTAAAGAATTTAATTTTTTTTTCTTAAGGGCTGCTTTTCGTTCAGATTTACATATTTTTTTATGTAATAATAATTTTTTACAGTTTACCAGGGTGTTTAAGAACTCGCGCCCCAGAGAAAAATGGCATGTATTGGTGGGATACCAGGAACATGGAAAAAATGTTAAAAAAATTCTGTCTATAAAATTTTTGAAGTTATGAGTGTTTAAATTTTACACTTTGACTCTATTTATTTTTGTTGGAAAAATAATTTTTTAAGTTTTTTTCTGATACAGGCTATTAGAAGAGGAAGCAAGGAAGCTGTATCTTAAATTTAATGTTATTTGTGGCTTTTATTGGCAAAATTTTTGTTCCTTCACTAAATAGTTATAAAAAAATATAAAGTCAAAAAATAAATATCAAATTTTTTCACATAAAATGTTTTAAATATTTTTTCCTTGTTTCTAATATTTTATCTTACTTGGCATTTTTCTCCGGGGCGCGTGTTTTGATATACTTTGTATAGAGTTATTTCCTAGAATGCAGAAAGAAATTTTTCCAAATTTTTCGTTGTTAATAAAAATTGGTTTTATTTTTTATTTTATATATTATTCTCTAGTTGATTAACCAAAAATTTTAAGAAATAGATATTACCTACCAAGATACGGGCGCCGTCGCCGCTTCAACAAAATTTATCAATGAAGGTTATAGGTAGTAACTATATTTTTATTACTGCTGCTTTTACCGTATTATGAGTATTGGAAAAAATATTGTATAACATTCATGATTATTTTTATTATTTGTGTTATCCACACACAGAATTTAGATACACTGTAAAACTGGATAAAACTATTTCTTCTCAATAGCTGACGGATATGCTGATGGAATAGCCTGGTGGTTGCTCTTGTTTCAGATTTTCTTGAGCAATTTTGTTTTCTTTTACGAGTTCTTCTGTCATTTCGGCATCCTCCCCGTGCAGGTGCATGTTTACATTACAAAAGTAGCTATGGTTGATTGCTAATGAAGCAAGGACAAAAGACTTGCAGACGTGACGTCACGGTAATATAATGATTGATATTGTTGTAGCATGGATCCCATTCATATCTCTTGGTTATGAATACGAGATATGACTTTTCGGAAATGTACGCATCGTCGCAAAAATTTCACACTTGCTATTGTCTTTGGTGTTTAGTCGCGCCGGACGTCTCTTCAAAAGAACAATGCCAGTTTATAATAACTCATTTTTCTCTTTTTGACCGTTTGTTGATAAACAATTGTTCGGAAACAGATACGTTTTTAAATCTAATCGCATGACAAATCGCGGGAATTCCCAGAAATACTTGGATTTTGCTTGAAGAAGATAAGTAAAGGTGCAAAATTATTTTTGCTTGTCTTGGAGAGATAAGCGGGTTTTTTTTATTTCAGAAGGAATTTGGCATGGCAGTGCTAACTAGGAAAGGCCCTTTTACGGTTTGTTTGTGCTGATTATTTCGTATATCGGGCCGAGAACACAGGTTTATAGTTCTCCTAAACCGACTGTTTGAGTAGGATTACCGGTGCAATCCTAATGATGCCGCAGTTCTCATGTTTCGGCTATTCCACTGTGATTTGAGACACAGCTATCTGTCCCAATATTGACACAGCTAACACACTTTTTCCTTACTGAAATGACGCAAGGACACGATTTCCTCAGCTCGACCGCAAGCAATTTTCTCATTCCTATGTTTTCTTCCAGAAGGTAGCGAAGATGAACTAGAAGTCTCCGAACAGCCTCAAGAAACCCACATGGACTCCGTGATGGTCCCTCCCCAGCACGAAACCTTCGACCTCCTCAAACCCTCTGATTACTCCTCCAACAACAACCTCGACGACCTTCCCAACAAACTCACCGTCAAGCCCGCCGACCAACTCTACTGTGATGAAACCCTCAAAGCGTTCAACGGCGTCAAACTGGACCTGGTGTACTCCAAATGCCGCGAGGTGGTAGCGGCGTCCGGAATCGTTCCTTGCGAGATCGACCTCAAAGATGGAGTGTTTGCTAAGGGCGTCATTCCTAAGGGCACACGCTACGGCCCGTTCCAGGGCAAGTGGGCCGGAGTCCCACAAGATGCGCGTTTCGCCTGGGAGGTGAGTTTTTCTACGATTTCACACCCCAACGAGCCGGGATTATAGCGCCCTTATTTTAGTAAATGCGTGCTTTATACAAATACTGGCAATTCGCACCCCTAAATTGGACCGACCCCAATTGATCGAGTAACCGGAGATTGGTATAACTGCCAAAAGTGTTATTTTACGTGTTTAGAGGTTCTTGAGTTTTTGGGTACTTGAAACAAGCAAAGAGCGAAAGGATGAAGGAAACCTTAAATGAAAAACGGTTTTATTAATAAATATTGTTTCACTGATAAGGACGATTTCTTTAAATTAGATTTATCAATGAAGTAAATAAATGCATGAGGTGTGCAGATTGAACGGTTGATAATGATAACAACTATTTACTTACAACAATAATGTTATGTGATCATGGGGGGCAGAGATAAAAGGATTATTTTACAGATAATTTATTATTATTTATTAATTGAATTGTTTCTAACTAATGGAATTACAACGCATTTCTATTATGCACCAGAAATTCATTAAATCATTATTTTTACTTCAATATTTACTTAAGTACCTAAATATTAAAATGAAGTCATGTCTTAAGTAAACTTAGGAGATATGTACAATATTTTATCTCTAATCCAGGTTATCTAATTTATTTGCGTTGTAGAATCATTGATGCCTTCGTCTTCAATTGATATTTTATAAATTAGATTTGTAGCTTAAATTTTGTTTAATTAAATATAAAAAAATATTCTCACCAATGAACTCTTAAAAAACAGTTTCTCGTGTTTGTCATTAAGCTGAATTTAAAAATAATTAGAAGTATTAGATTGCGTGATTGTTTATAGATTTATATTTAATTTTAGTGCACGTGCAAGAACTTATTAATTTTGGAATTATCATTAGTGTAATTTTTCAAAATTTTGATAGAATTGTAGAATAAGGATAGATATATTCTGAAAAAGTCTCTAATCTTATCATAAAATTACCCAAATAAGCTTTAGTAAGGTAGGAAGATTTACCTTTTAAGCAGGAGTAAATTAATGAAATTTTGATGAAAGTAAAAGAAATATACGTAAAAAAAGTAAATGCCGGTTATATTTATGATATGATTTTTGATCATAACATTGATTAAAGGGGAAAGAGATGGATGATATATAAAAGACAATGAATAGAGTAAAAATTAAAAAAATAAGGGGTGAATGGAGTTGAGCCAACATTTGTTATATCAAAATCTACATTCTTAAAGAAAATGAACTGCATATAAACAGATTTGCGTTAAAAATTTTAAAAATACTTACTTAAATTGAAAAAATACCTAGTAATTAAAACGACTAGTGATTCGTCTAAAAGTACATTATTTGTGTATTCAAAAGTAAGAATGGATTTTTGTTAGTTTAAAAAATTGTCTTAAATAAATGAGGAAATAAGGAAAAATGTTAGTAGATTCAAAATATAGTCTATCTCTCTCTTTTTACCATAACCTTAGTACTCATATTTAATATGAGAATCTTTATTTTCTATGAGACTTAATGTATGTTTTGCATAAAATCAGTTGGAAAATATCAGGAGGTCAAATTGTAGTTGTTTTGTCAATACTAGTATCTAATGTAAAGATAAGGCACTTTTAGAGTAGCTAATTATGTAACCAGAGCTAACAACCTGAGCAAAACCTGCTCAAGTTACCCCAGCATTTTTGCATAATTACTAGCAATCCATCACGGCTTAACCACTTGGGATGGTTTTTTAATGATGCAAAATGGCCACACCTGTGTCGTACCGGTTCAAATAGCGTACCTAAACCGTTTACAACCCTAATTGGCCCAAGGACCTAAGCCTTCATTCTGTTTACGTCCATCTCCGTGTATCCTTTGGCTTATCCTCTTTTTTCGCACCGATCCTGTCAATCACCGGTACCACCTGGATTCATTCAGTGGTAATCTTGGATATTATCAATCCATGAGCGTTATTTATTGTAGATAATTTCTATCACTTAATCTTTGAATGGAAATATAAGCAAGCGTAAATTAAAATTCTTTTTAGTCTGTCCGAGTTTGTGTGGTCATGGTCATCTTCAACGCAAGTCAGGTATTGTACTTTTTTTGCTTATTAAACTCGTCTCCCTTCTAAGGTCAAGATGGGCAAGGGAGACTCAATTTTTCTATTGTGATATAATTGGAAGTACAAAACATGTCAAAAATGTGTCATGCGACTTGACCGGGGACAAACATGTTATTCGGAAGCTGGGGAAACGGAAATCTTGCGATTGATGGCTGATGGACAATCTGTGGGAAAAATTTGCATCTGGGGCGATTAGCATGAAAATGCGAATTTGTCGGAGCTAGTTTCGGGGGTTTGGCCGGTTTTTCGGGCGGTTGGAATTTTGATAAACTGTGGCGATTTGTTAGATGAGCCATTTTCCATGCAGATGCTGCATAACAGCCCTTTGATGACCATCCGACCTGACGCGGAAATTTTTTACCCTCCGGTTTCATACATCATCGTTCCTTTCAACCCCAAAATAATGACTTAATTTATCTCTTTTAATTGTGTTCATTCGTCACTGGTTATTTTGAGTAAAAATAAGCGACATTCCGTCACGAATTCCCAACAATACCGTGCGGACCCATTCATGGTCTATTTTATGTCAGATTTCGGCGAAACGCAAAGAAATTTTAAGATGCTACCGTTTTACCTATTCGACCAGACTGTGACTTTTGTGAAGCTTGGACAAAGCTTTCGGTCACAGTCTGGTTCCGAGGATGGGAATAAGTGATCATGGGATAGTTGACACCTCCGAAAGGGCCGCCCGTCGTGTCTAAAGTGACGTCTACATGGTAAAGCTCTATCCCGAGGGCTTAGCCATGCTCACATCTCTCTTTGTTACCATAATCTGGCCGTAAAATGGAGCGGCTGATTTTTCCACGCCACGTGATTTTTTCCGCGATGTCTAATTGGTCGACGCAATTAAATACTATGAAGTTTTCTGAGTGTGCATTCCCTCGTGACGCGGAAAAGTTGGCTTTCGAGAGAACCGAAGCGGAAAAACTTCCCTCTCTGTGTACATTTCAAAAATTTAATATTGTGCTCACCTAACTCACCTTATGAAGTTCATTAATTATTCGTGGCGGAGAGACGGGGAAGTTTCTTTCTGTGTTGTGGAAAACGGAGGGAAATTGGGCGAGAGTTCGACGCGGATGCGGGAAAAATCATGACAACTCATGCGGGAAATTCGCAGCTGACTTCCATAAGCATCTTTGAACATTGATGACTTATGGCACGAAATGCGCCGGGAGGAAATTAATTTCACGGAAGATGGGCGACGTTTTTATTAAAATGGGAAAATTTCGTCTTTGCAAAATTACACCAAGCATTGTAAAAAAACAACAAAGTATTAATGAACAATTTGTGTTATTTCACATTGTCTAAAACTAACTAAAAATAAAAGCATTTGACCAATTTTTGGTGTTCTTATTCTATAAAAAAATAAAAATGAGGAATTTTGAGCAAAAATGAAATACTTTTAATTTTAATGTTTAGGTAGTGTTTTGATTTTTGAGATTTTCTCAGGCATGGCACAACTGCTAAAAGAGAAAATAGAAGACAACAAACAAACAATATAAAAAAACTCAAAGAAACCTATTCAGAAAAATGGCAAACCGTCTTTTTCTGCCAAACATGTTAATTAATCCCAAAGCTCCATCCCCTACCTGCTTGCAAATTTTCTAAATCCCTCTCCTATTCACATCACTGTGACAAGACATCCCCTTTCCAGACTCTCGCAAACATATAAACTAATTCTTTTTTGTGAAAAGACACAGAAAAATCAATCAGTGTCTCCATTTGGGTCACTTTTGTTACGCGAGAACAGATGCATCACTTCAGCTGTCAATGCTTACAACCCTCCAGTTCATCCATCTTCGCTACCCATCACAAGCCCATCGGGAGTACTTTGATGGGTGTTTGTACCGGACAACTTTCAATAGATTCGATCAATACGGCAAAGAGCTTCCGATATGTACGCGTTCGACTGTTAATAACCCGATTACTCGATACCTTTCCGCAAGTTTTGCTCGTGAAGAAATCTTATTTAGGGCGAAGGGTGAGCGGAGGGTTTCGCACTTCACTCTGACACCTTTGAAAGAGATACCAGCGATTGTTATCTGCTGTGGGCTACCTACTGGTCACTGAATGGCACAAAATTCCAATACATAATAGCCGAGGATGCTGAAGGGACCATTGGGGCATAAATTTTGGCAAAAACTGATAACTTGAAACTGATTAATTGCAAGGTATAGAACAGATGAAGAGGTTTTCAGGCAATAATAATAATAATAATAA